GCAGCCTCTCTGATGAAATTTTGCATGATGATGAATGAGATGCAAAGGTTCTAACACCAGACAAATGCTGGGGCAGAGGGCTCTAGAGGCCGGAATCTCTGGAGGGCTAGCGTCGCCAACCTCCAGGTGGAGCCTGGAGTTCTCCAGACAACAGAGGTCAGTTTTCCTGGAGAAAATGGCAACTTCAGAAGGCAGACGCTATTATATACCATAGATATAGATAGGTGAAATCCCTCCCCAAATACCCCCTCCACAGGCACTGCCACAAAATCTCTAGGAAAATCCCTGGCCAGAGTTGGCAACCCTACAATGAGCAGGAGACGAAGAGAGATGGAGATATGAGGATGGCTGTAAATGATGGAATAATGCCACTTCCAGGAAAACCAGGAAGTGACATCGGGCACTTCTAGGAATTGATGGAAACTCAATGGTTCCCATCCCTATTGGGCATATGCTAACCCTACTGGAAGTTCTGGATTGCTAAGGGACCCATCGTCTGACTTCTTAGCAGAGCCATCACAATGCAGTCTCATGGAAAATTTGAAGTAAATTGTGGTTTCCAGAGAGACGTGATGTCTCTTCCTGGTTTCCCCTGGAAACGTCACACCACAGGTGAGGCTGGCTTTAAAAAAGTCTTCACCATCGCCACTCCAAGCAGCAGCAGTGTCACTGTCTTTGGTATTTAAGCATTAATGGTGTTCTTTAAGAAAATTTGAACAGCACAGTATCCAGCGTGCAACCGGGCGGACCCACGGAGGATTGGGCGCCATACATACATGTTATGGCCATATATGGATGTTTACCTGTGTTCTCAGAGGCAAAAAGGTACACCTGGTGCGGAGGGAGGAAAGATCTGCATCCCCCCTTCACCACATGTAGGAAACTGACTGGTGAAAACTACTGCCCATATCAGGCCCATATCATTCTAGCTGACTTGCACAGTTGTTGAGATGTTAAAATTCCACTCTCACTGGATTGAGGGTGAGATAGAAATTAAGTGAAGGATCCAATGGAACAGAATTGATGTAGCTCAGGGGTTAAGACGCTGAACTGCAGATCAGAAGGTTGGTAGATCAGCAGTTTGAGACCCGAGTGCCGCATGATGGAGTGAGCTCCCATCTCTGGCCCCGGCTCCTGCCAACCTGGCAGTTCGAAAGCAAGAAACTGCAAGTAGATAAATAGGTACCACTTCGGTGGGAAGGGAACAGTGTTCCGTGCGACTCGGCGTCTAGTCATGCCGGCCACAAGACCACAGGAACGTCTTCGGACAGCGCTGGCTCTTCGGCTTGGAAACGGAGATGAGCACCGCAACCTAGAGTTGGATTCGACTGGCTTTCGAGCAAGGGAAACCGTCACCTTTACTGTTAACTTGCCCTGACCTGGATAGCCCAGGCTAGCCCAATCTTGTCAGATCTCAGAAGCTAAGCAGTGTCATCTCTGCTAACTACTTGGATGGGAGACCACCAAAAAACTCCAGGGTCACAACACAGAGGCAGGCAAAGCGACCTCTGAAGGTCTCTTTGCCTCGAAAACTCTACAGGGGTCACCAAAAGTCGGCTCTCTTGACACCAAAACAAAACCACCCTATAAACCTCCCCCCCCCCGGCCAAAGGAAATCCAGAAACCTTTATCTCACACTTTGGGAGATGGATGCTGTCTTTGGGTAAGGCGCAAGCAAGACACTGAGCGTACATTAGGTGTAAGTTTCCCTTGCTCAAAAGCCAGTCGGATCCGACTCTAGGGGGCGGTGCTCATCCCCGTTTCCAAGCCAAAGAGCCAGCGCTGTCCGAAGACGTGTCCGTGGTCATGTGGCCGGCATGACTAAATGCCGTGGCGCACAGAACGCTGCTACCTTCCCACCGAAGCGGTACCTATGTATCTACTTGCAGTTTCTTGCTTTCAAACTGCTAGGTTGGCAGGAGCCAGGGCCAGAGACGGGAGCTCCCTCCATCATGCGGCACTCGGGTCTCCAACTGCTGAACTACCGACCTTCCCGTCTGCAGTTCAGCATCTTAACCACTGAGCTACATCAATTCTGTTATGCTGATATGCTGATCACCACTTTGGGGTCAGGAAGCAATTTTTCTCCAGGCTACTTTTGCCAGGGATACTGGAGGTTTTGTGGTCAACTTCTAGGCACGGAACAGGGGTCAGTGGGGTGTTGGGAGGGAGGTATTGGTGAGTATGCTGATCACCACTTTGGGGTCAGGAAGCAATTTTTCTCCAGGCCAGTTTGGCCAGGGATCCTGGAGGGTTTTTGGTCATCTTCTGGGCATGGAACAGGGGTCACTGGGGTGTGGGGGGGAGGTATTTGTGAATATGCTGATCACCACTTTGGGGTCAGGAAGCAATTTTTCTCCAGGCCAGTTTGGCCAGGGATCCTGGAGGGTTTTTGGTCATCTTCTGGGCATGGAACAGGGGTCACTGGGGTGTGGGGGGGAGGTATTTGTGAATATGCTGATCACCACTTTGGGGTCAGGAAGCAATTTTTCTCCAGGCCAGTTTGGCCAGGGATCCTGGAGGGTTTTTGGTCATCTTCTGGGCATGGAACAGGGGTCACTGGGGTGTGGGGGGGAGGTATTTGTGAATATGCTGATCACCACGCTGCGGTAAGGAAGCAATTTTTCTCCAGGTCAGTTTGGCCCGGGAACCTGGAGGGGTTTTGCCCTCTTCTGTGCATGGAGCAGGCGTCACTGGATGTATGTGTGTGTGTGGGGAGAAGGTTGAAAAGTACGCAGACGGAGAGTGATTTCAGCAATGCGTACTTTATTCGATCAGGAACAAGACAACTTTGGCCGGCTTACAGACTGGCTTATATCCCCCGAGAAACCTCCACCCAAAACACACCCCTACTTCCCTATAAGTTATTTACAGTGGCAGAGAGTCCCATAGGCTCTCGCCGGGAACCTAGCCCCCTGATTGGAGCAGGCTAGGATCCGCATAGTTCATTGTCTCTTGGAGCGAAGCTCGATGTTTGTCTCTGGACTTGTCTGGAATGGATACATTACAAAGGTATTCATGAATCTCCTGCATTGTAGGGGGGTTGGACTAGATGACCCTAGAGGTACCTTCGAACGCTTACGAGTCTAGATTCATCACTCAATCAAACCCCATAGATAACTTTATGCCTCCCGGCTCCCCTCCCCAAATCACTCTACTCCTCCAGTTCACGAATGATTCACATCCCCCGAAACTTTTTTTTGGGGGGGGGCGCGCCTCGAAGTCCGCGCAACCCCACCGCCCGAGCCCTAAAGCAAGACGAAGGCGGCCCCGTTCCAAGAAGGCCCGCCACGAGAAACGATTTCCCCGGGCGGCTCTTTTTTGAGCGAGGGGGAATCTCTCCAGATCCCCAAAGGGCAAAGCAGGCATGCATCCTTTTGCAGAGAGCGGGGTGGTGGCAGCAGGCCACGAGGAAAAACCTGCCCCCTTGGCACCACCCGCCCCCCCAACCCCGCTTGGCGAGCCCCCGCGCCTCAATGTCTCATCACCCATCATCATCCTCATCATCAGCCGCCAGTCATCCCCGCCCTCCGCTTGAATGACGGCTTGGAGTTCCGGAGGGGGGATTTCTGCTGCCTCTTTCCAGCGAGGGAATCTCTCGCTTGTCTCTTTCGCTCTCGCTGCCGCTTATATAAGCGGCCCCCGGTGTGTCCTTTTATGGCGCGGCTTCCTGCCTGGCCGCCGCTTCGGCTGCTTCCGTGGGCCGGACCGCGCCATGGAGCCGCTGAGTCAAGCGCAGGGACCGGGGTGGAGGGGTGGGGATCAAGGATCGGGGGACCCCAGATGGGTAGGGGATGGGTAGGGCATAGGGCACCCCCCACCACCACCAGTGTTCCCTCTAAGCTGAGTTAGTGTGAGCTAGCTCATAGTTTTTGAGCCTCTGGCTCACACGTTGTCGTCTTTGCCCAGGAAGGATGGTTGCAGCGCGAACTGATTTATGCAGGAGCCAAATTAAAGCTCACAACTTTAATGCCAGTAGCTCACAAAGTAGAATTTCTGCTCACAAGACTCCACAGCTTAGAGGGAACATTGCCCCCCCCACACACCTCTCGACGTCTCGCCACCCTCCTCCCCAAAACCCGTGCACACCGTGCAGCATTGCAACTAAGATTTGCAAACTCTCCCTCTCTTTGCAGAGCGTGCCTTTAACCCCCCTCTCCTGTCCCTCTAGCGAAACAGCGGCACACACATGTACCTGTGTGCCATGCGCAGGTGTAGCCGTGTGTTATGCGCAGGGCTCGGGCTCGCGAACGGCCGGGCGAGTGCAACCCGATGCGTGCATCATGCATGCACACTTCTTTGCAGTGCATTTCAATCTGCCCCCCAACCCCTTTTGCCCAGGGTCTTTCAGGGAATGGGCTTTGAATCAGGGAGTCCCTTGCCAGGGAAACTGTCAGAAGACAGATCAGTCCTTCCTCGGCTCTTTAGGGGGGAAAGGGAGAGGCGGGGGACCGGGGATTACTCATCCATCCATCCAACTGTCGGCGAAACCTTTCAAGCGCTTCTCGCCCGGCCGTCTGGGGGTGGGGGCGAGGGGGCGGGCGGGCAGGCAGGCAGGCTGGCTTGCCAGGAGCGGCGTGTGCCACCGAACGCGCCGCGTCCAATCAGCGGCGAGATGCAGATGAGCCAGGAGGCTTGGCTACGCCCACAGACCGGGCTGCGTGGCGTATAAGTAGGGCGAGCCGTGAGCGTTCCAGCCAGAACACACAGAGAGAGAGACAGAGAATCCCTCTCCTCTGCGGCTACAGAGAGACTCGGAGACTTGTTCGCCTGAACTTCTCAGGAGCTGATTGCCTGGCTGCTTCCCTCCTTTCCCAGAGGAAAGATCCAGGATTGACAGATTCCCTTTTGATTTGCTTTGGGCTTCGGTTGAGGACCTCGACAGCGGAGCTTTCTGGGGTGGTTTCTGATCTGGTTGTGTTTGGGGCAGAAGGAGGAGGAGAGAGCGAGGTAGTCTCCAAGGAGCGTTGAGGCCAGGTTTGTCCCGCAGCTGCTCAGCCATGCAGTTGGAGAACGTCAACCACGGGAATCTCCACTCCTTCCAGGGCCACCGCGGCGGCGTGGCCAACAAGCCCAACGTCATCCTCCAGATAGGGAAGTGCAGGGCCGAGATGCTGGACCACGTCAGGAGGACCCACCGGCACCTCCTGACCGAGGTCTCCAAGCAGGTGGAGCGCGAGCTGAAGGGCCTGCAGAAGTCGGTGGGGAAGCTCGAGAACAACCTCGAGGACCACGTCCCCTCGGCGGTTGAGAACCAGAGGTGGAAGAAGTCCATCAAGGCCTGCCTGTCTAGGTGCCAGGAGACCATTGCTCACTTGGAGAGGTGGGTCAAGAGGGAGATGAATGTCTGGAAGGAAGTGTTTTTCCGCCTGGAGAGATGGGCTGACCGGCTGGAGTCCGGAGGGGGGAAATACTGCCATGGGGATAACCACAGGCAAACGGTCTCTGTCGGGGTCGGAGGCCCAGAAGTCAGGCCTAGCGAAGGGGAGATCTATGATTATGCGCTGGACATGAGTCAGATGTATGCCCTGACTCCTCCCTCGCCGGGAGATGTCCCTGTTGTGTCTCAGCCCCACGACTCCTACCAGTGGGTCACTGTCCCGGAGGATACCCCACCCTCCCCGGTGGAGACCCAGATCTTTGAGGACCCAAGAGAGTTCCTGACTCACTTGGAGGACTATTTGAAGCAGGTGGGTGGGACCGAGGAGTACTGGCTCTCTCAGATCCAGAACCACATGAACGGCCCGGCCAAGAAGTGGTGGGAGTACAAGCAGGACTCTGTCAAGAACTGGCTGGAGTTCAAGAAAGAGTTCCTGCAGTATAGCGAGGGCACCTTGACCCGGGACGCCATCAAGGAGGAGCTGGATCTCCCCCAGAAAGACGGGGAGCCCTTAGACCAGTTCCTCTGGCGGAAGAGGGATCTGTACCAGACCCTCTACGTTGAGGCCGATGAGGAGGAAGTCATCCAGTATGTCGTGGGCACGCTCCAGCCCAAGCTGAAGCGCTTCCTCAGCCACCCTTACCCCAAAACTTTAGAACAGCTGATCCAGAGAGGCAAGGAAGTTGAGGGCAACTTAGATAACTCTGAGGAGCCCACCCCACAGAGGACTCCCGAGCACCAGCTATGCGGCTCGGTCGAGAGCTTGCCCCCTTCCTCGACCGTTAGCCCCGTGGCGAGCGATGGGACCCAGCCCGAAACGTCTCCTCTGCCGGCCACCGTGATCTGAGCTCGAGACCGGAGGCGGCAAAGCGTTCCGCAGAGGGGAGTCAGTGGCTTATTTAGGAAGGGTGGTTTCCTTTCAGTTGGAGACTGTGGCCGGGATGGGTCTGAGGATGCTCTCAGTCCAATGAGCCGTCAGAGGAGCATTGTTATTATTATTATTTTGTTTGTGAGCGGGCCACGTGGAATATGTGGCTTACTTAGGTCACTTGCAGTGGCCCAGACTGGAGAGTGAAGGCTACTTTGAGGATTCTTTTTTTAAAAAAGAGAGAGAGAGAGAAGCGATTGCAAAGAATGGACAGTGTTACAAAGACCAGTCAATTCTTTCTGGCCAAGGGCCACCAAGTACCCTTGGGCGTTCATTTCCAAGGTCTTGAGACAGGCGCAGTATGGGGAAGTTCCTTCTCCGCAACCCTCAGTTCTCCTTTTCCTTCCAGGCATTCCCCCCTCTTTCGAGAAACGTCTCGAGATGACCTTCAGTCATCTCTGCTTGGGCTCTCGCCAACGCCAAGAAAGCAAATTGTTTGCATTTTTTTTAAATTCTCCTTCTGTCAACTTTTGGTTGACTGAGAAGGGGATTTCCTAGAAAGTTTTAGGAAGACGTGAAAAAATTCCATCTGGAGCATCGAATTAGAGTTGCTCTGTTTTCCTTCTTCTTCCTAAGTGGTTCTTCTGGATCCTGTTTGGCTCTGACCCGATTTGGATGGCCTTCGGCGCCAGAAAAAGATATTGTCCACATTCATCCCACAGGGGACTAGACCCAAGAGCAGACCATGGGAGTGGACAGCTGTTAAGCAGAGGACAGCGAGAAGGGAAAGATCAGAGTCCACATTCATCCCACAGGGGACTAGACTCAAGAGCAGACCATGGGAGTGGACAGCTATTAAGCAGAGGACAGCAAGAAGGGAAAGATCAGAAAGTGCTCAAACTCTGTACAGGGGTTAGATTCCTAGACTATTGGGGGGGATTTCAATTCTATACAAACACAACTCAGTTTCAGAGAACACGCTGGTCCCAGCTCAGCACAAATGCAGACCCACCAAGACAGAGATGGATCTTTGCCATAGGAAAGATCCACTAGGTGTTTTGGTGACAGAGAGTTCCCAAAGCTGTGAGTTCCTTTGCCCGGAGGTCATAGGAGACGAGCGACTTGGACTGTCGATGGTCTTCCACCTGCAGACCCAGTCTGCCTGCACAAAGAAAGGCTTCAAGAAAGCTCAGCGCCAATGGCTTTCCTCGCAGCCGAGAACCGAAAGACCCAGCAAGGGTTGGACTGTGAGATGCCGAGAAAGAGCACTGAAGTGCTGTGAGAAGTTTGTGCTTCCTAGAGTTGTGGAACCTAGGAAGGACTGTGCGCTGCCTAGCGGTACTGACTGACGGTGTGGAGAAGAGCAAAGGGGATGAGAGCAGTTGCAGAAGAACGGCACCAGATTCTGTTTTCAGCAAGAGAAGCGGCAAAGATCAGCTTCGCCTGGTGCTCTGCGAACCTTGGGGGTGCATGTCCTTCCCATGGCTTACAGGTAAGATGGCATTTAACTTGCTCTTGTCTACTCCCTCCCCGATTAAGAGATAGAACTTAAGCTCCGAGTGCTAGGCGAGGATTCAGAGGTAGTTTGGCACCCACCGAAGCCAGAGGCTGTTATGTTGAGGCTGAGGATGGCCAGTTAGGGAAACATAAAGGTACCATTTCTAGACTGGACGTTTGGACCATGGTCCATGACGAATAACTAGAAGAAATGGATGAAATCAGCACAGATGTGGCTGGAGGAACTGGGTGGCGATGGACGTGTGGTCTGAGATGACAAAACCCAATCTGGCCATACTTCCCACATGTATGAGGGAGGCAAGCCCTGGGAGGGACCTTTATCTAGTCCAACCTCCGTGCCCTGGGGTGAGAAATCAGGGCACGGAGGATGGTTTTCCCCCCCCTCCATTGGGAGATTTGTGCCAGAGCTTTTCTTCAGGCAGGTCCCCATCTGGCTAAAGGGAACACCGGGCATTAAGAGCGAGCCGGTTGCATGCCTGCTGTTTTTCTAAAGAGCCAGAAGTGAGAAAAGAGGGAACTGGGTCAAAGAGAAGCAGCACCTCCCCGCCCGCCGTGCGTAAGCATGCGTTCAGCTGTGATAGGACACCGACAGAGCGGTGCCTTTTCAGAAAGAGAAGGCTCTCCAGGGGAGGAGAGGAACAATGTCTAATGCGAGGTATTATGGGCTGTCAACGGAGGCTTGGCTCACAGTGCATGCTTTGTGTTGTTTTTTTCCTGCAGTGACTCATCCCCAGCAGTGGCGGTGAGCAAGGCTCTTCCTGAATCACACCGAGATCGCGGATGAGGGCAAAGAGACGGCTCAGAGGATCCTAGCATGCAGCCGGGCAGACAGACGTCAGAACCCCGGCGATGCAGCGGCTCCCGCCGAGAGATCACCCAGAGAAGGTAATTGGGCTGCTCGGTTCCAGCCTCCCCCTATCAAAGGTGCTAAGTTCTCAGTGCCCGGAATAAATACAATCAACACTAGAGATGCCTGTGTTTGGAGCATAGCTTTAGGGATCAGATGCAAGGTCTGCGTCCCCTGATATTTCGATGTCCTTTGGAGCAGACAATTGCTTCTTCCGTCCTCCTGACCTATAATTGTTAGGGCAGCCTATCCTATCTGGAAAGCCAATGAGGAGAGAATCTCTCGTGGGAAAGGCAAACTAGCAGCAGAGCCCGTAGCCCCCGTCTGCGGATCCCCATCCTTCATAATGGGTGGTTAAAGCTCTAGCCATCTCTTCCTGGGGAGTTCCCACTGCTTTGGGATCCCTCGAAGAAATGGGTGAGCTTTGGGGGAAACAGAATCCTAGAACCACAGAGTTGGAAGGGGCCATAGAGGTCACCTAGTCCAGCCCCCTCCTCGGTGCAGGGTCTTCCGAGAGCATCCCTGACAAGGGTTTGTCCAGATGCTACTTAAAGACTGCCCGTGAAAGGGAGCTCACCACCTCCCTGGGCAGCTGATTCCACTGTGGAACAACCCTTACTGTAAAAAAAAAAGTTATTCCTAATATCCTTCCCGCCCTTAATTTAAACCCATTATTTTGAGTCCTCTCCTCTGCTGCCAACCGGAACAGCTCCCTGCCCTCCTCTGAGTGACAGCCTTCCAAATCCTCCAAGAAAGCCAAAATATCCAATGGCCAATGCTCCCTCTGAGCCGCGGGGTCTGGTGAGCAAAAATTCTACCTGGTGAGCTACCGGCACTAAAGTTGTGTGCGAGCAGTTTGGCTGCTGCATAAATGAGTTTGCTCTGGAGCCGTCCTTCCTGAGCGAAGACAAAAATGGGCGAGCTGGAGGCTAAAAAACTGAGCTGGCTCACACCAACTCGGCTTAGAGGGAGCATTGCCAGGGTCACCATGTCCCCAATGATGGCCGTCTCCAAGCCCCTCCTCCGCCAACTCCCATCATTCCACCTATGAACAAACCCACCCAGGACTTTGTAATATCTGCATTACTCGCTTTCCTCCCCTATGTTCTCGTTGCTGATGGAGACTAACCTTCGTTGTTCATTGATTGATTGCAGGGCATTTCCCCTCCCCCTTCTGCTGCTCGGGAGCCAACGCCTTGAATTTCTGAGCTGTCGCTTTGGGCAAGGAAGAAGCCGCCATGACGGAAAGTGCAGGCCAGGAAGATTGACCTCTGGTTGGCCACATCACGCCAGGGCAGCTGCCACAGTTAAGGGGTCAGAGCGCAGGCCGGCGGAAGGAGCCACGAAGACCACAACAAGAACCCGAAAATCCAAAGTACCGTTTCCAGCACACCCAAGACTCAACGAACAGCAAGAGCCATATGATGTTTGGGCTCCAGCTTTCCCTCGAAGAAGTCCTGCCTTGGTGTGGGCTTCCATTTCGCCTCAGGAAGGGAAGTTGGGCAGCAAGGACGGAAGCTCTGTCGAAGCTCAACATTTCCTTCCCTGCTCAGCCTCTCCAAGGGACCGATCCTGAAGTGCGTCCAGAGCTCTCCTGCCCCTAGAATTTGGGCAGTCGAAACTGACATTTCAGTTCAGGGAGACATCTATGTCTGAAAGATATTGACTTGTACCGAGACGGTCCTGGGATGGGTTACGGATGGGACATGTTCATCTTCTCGCACTGAGCTGAAATGCAACGCGATTTCTTTCCTTAGTTTTGGTGCTTTCTTTCTTTCTTTTTGTTTCCCGCCCTAACTAGGAAGTCTAAACAGGCACGCCGTTGTACGCTGTGCAGTGAGCAATTTATTTTTTTTTGATGTTCAAAGAAGTCGTACTTCATATTCTACCTGTCAAACAGGTTGGAATGGAGATGGGTTTAGGGGTTGTTCTTATTTCTTCCAAAAACAACCTGGCCTCCTGCTGACATGGAGGTGTGGGGCGCACATCTTATTTCTTCCAAAAACAACCTGGCCTCTTGCTAACATGGTGTGGGGCGCACTTAGGCACATGTACCAAACCTTACTGTTACTGTATTCCTGTCATTCTGGGGCATGGGATTGGGGTTTTATCAAACTCAGAACTGTGGTGACATCAAACACCATCAGCCATAAGAAGGATGGGCCAGGTTATGTGTTAAAACAAGCACTAGCTAAATGTCTCGGAGAACATGACCTAGTGAAAGTTCTAGGGCTATCATTTCCCCATCTCTATTTCCCTCTAACGTTAAAGACGTTAACGGAGATGGTGACTGATTTTGTGATGCCTTGTTTATTCTGGGGTTGTCTGGAGACCTAATCCACAGGAGTCCTGGATCTCGACTATTTCAGTTGCTTCTAATCCTACAGAAGCATTATCTGGAGCACCCCGATTTACGTATCATCAGTTCTCATTGAGAGATCTGGTGGTATTCTTCTCCTGAGGGAGAACCACGTGCAATGGAACATGTGTGACGTATTTGTGAACCAGGACTCCCCGAATATTTCTCACCCTCTGTGTTATAGGACTCTACCGAAGCTGCTTTCTACTTCTGATTGTATTTTTTTTTCTACTGGATCTCACGGGTTCACGCAGC